GTGAAACTTATAACTGAATTTCCTTCTAAAATGACAGAATAATTAGAGTATAACTTCTGTTTTAGGGACTAAGTGGAGGAAGCACCAGAATTATATTACTATATTGTCTTGAAATTGTACAGTTATTTACAGTGATGTCACAATCATGCTTTGTGTTGTACATATGTATGGGATATTTTAGGATGCAGTGACTTATGATGACGTGCATGTGAACTTCACGGTGGAAGAGTGGAATTTGCTGGATCCTTCCCAGAAGAATCTCTACAAAGACGTGATGCTGGAGACCTACTGGAACCTCACTGCTATAGGTGTAAGACTGTAAATTTTCTTTTGCTTCTTAAAATAAGGAAAAATGTTTCCTGGTTACTGATGATCATCTCTTATTTCAATAAAGAACAAGTAATATTGAGTTAAATAAATCAGGTTCGCCGGGTGCGCACGACTTTAATCCCAGCACTTAAGAGTCAGAGGCAGGTGGATTTGTGAGTTCGAGAACTTGAGGCTAGCCTGGTATACAGAGTGAGTTCCAGGACAGCCACGGCTACACAGAGAAACCCTGTTTCGAAAAAAACAAAACAAAAAAAACCAACCAACCAACCAACCAACCAAACAAACAAACAAACAAAAACAAGAAAAAAATACATCAGGTTCATTGCTGTGAAAATTCTGAGTAACTTGAATTTTGCCTAATTTCAATACCATATCATTCATTTTTTGGTACTGTGTTTTAGGCTATAATTTTGGAGACCGTCCTTTTGAAAAACAATGTGAAACTTCTAGAAGTCATGAAAGGTAATTTTAATGTCTAAGCTGATACAAGTATGCCTGTGGGGAAATTTTACTATAATCTAGGAGCTCTAAAGGAAAGCAAGTGTGTAAAATATCAGTCCTTTTATATTAGCTATGATTATAATAACCTCACAAAATCATGTACCTCACAGTCACTTTTCTGATTTGTGTTTACAAGGCATTCTTCTAAGAAAGCTGACAAGAAAACAGTGCCTTAAGAGAGAGCTTATTTGATTTGTAGCTCCATGAGAGCTATGCTGTGGGACTACCCCTCTGTATAGTCTCAAAATATTTAGATGTTGCACATTGAAGAGTGATAAATATGTATCCAAATCCTTCTAATAAGCCAATAGTCCATGGCTAAATTGGTAGCGCTCATATGCTTTTAGTGACATTGCTACATTTATGGAGCAGTCAGTTTATGAGATTCAACAATGTTGTCATGGAGAAACCTTAATCCATATACAGCAAGTCTACTAGGAACCAAAAGTCAAATTGTGTGAATTCATTGTGCAAATATTTCATTTTTTCTTCTTCTTTTCATTCGTATATCAAGTGTCAGAAAGAATGAAACCATGTGAGCATAGGGATATTTAAATGAGCCACATACATTTTACTATTCTAGGACAATGAGAAGAAATGTAGGATTCTCCCTTTGGGAGGCTCTCTGAATATGTTAGACATTTGCAATTAATTGGTTTTCTGACTTTACTGGAAACAACCCAAAAGTCACACTGCTGAAAATCCCTATGGGTACTACAAATATTGAAGATCTTCTGTTTTTCCTGGGTCCCATTTCAACTGTATTGTGATTACACAAAAACTATAAATGTAGCCAGTGTTATCCAGGTCTGCCTCATTCCATTTTACTTCAGATATGTGAAATCCATCATATAGAAATCACATATAGAAAAAGGATGTTAGAAATATAAGCCATATAATAAATGTTGCTATCACAGAAATTGTCAAAGATGGAAAACAACCTATCGTGGGGAAGAACACCATTATCATATGAAGTGATAAAACCTCATGATCTGATTTTTTTCTCTCTTCTTTTTTTTTTCTTCTTCACATTTTGGGGGGGGGGTTAGAGACAGTGTTTTTCTGTGCAGCCCTGGCTGTCCTGAAACTCACTCTGTAGACCAGGCTGGCCTCGAACGCAGAAATCTGCCTGCCTCTGCCTACCAAATGCTGGGATTAAAGGCGTGTGCCACCACTGCTGGGCCTAATTCTTTTTTTAATATTAAACCAAACTACAAAATTAATTCATATGGATGAAATGATTGATCAGAGTAATGAATGTGGTTAAGCTTTCACATGTGCCAATTATCATTGCAGGTATGTAAGAAGTCACAGTGGGGAAAAAACTATAAGAATGTAATCAATGTAGTAAAGCCTTTTCATGTCACAGTCATCTCCAAAGACATAAAAGGACACATACTGGAGAGAATCCCTATGAATGTAATCAATGTGGTAAAGCCTTTGCAAGATCCAGTTATCTCCAAATACATAAGAGAACACATACTGGAGAGAAACCCTATGAATGTAATCAATGTGGTAAAGCCTTTTCATATCAGAGTAGTCTCCAATGTCGTAAGAGAACACATACTGGAGAGAAACCTTATGAATGTAATCAGTGTGGTAAATGCTTCACACAAAAAATGCCATCTCCATAATGATAAAAGAACCCATATCAGAGAGGAACCTTAGTTATGTAATCAGTGTGGAAAAACCTATTATAAGTGAGAAGTCTCCAAAGACAAAATTGATCACATACAGGAGAGAAAATTTTTGAATGTAATTAATATGGTAAAAGGCTTT